TCATAAATAATTGATGTTATTTCACAGTGACATCATAAGTTGTGGTCGTGTTCAACAGTCAATTATATTTAATGTTGTTTAAAAAAAGATAAATCATTTGATAGGTTTATACGGAAGCCCGTTGAGGCCAGTTGAAAGAAAGAAATATTTTTATTGCGTTTAAACGCAAAAGATGCGTTTAACCGCAATGTATATTGCGTTTAAACGCAAAACCCTTTGCGTTTAATCGCAAAAGATCAATTGCTTACGTATCACAATTAATTAAGAAGTTCAGCGTTTTAGTGGTATTAATTAAAACTTGTCAATTTGGTAGTACACATCGATCAATCTGTTTTCATTTGATTTTGATCTCAAATGATTCCATCACCTGTGTTCTTGTGTTTGCTGTATGCAACCGTAGGAAAGGTTGTGAATATACATTTTAGTCTAAATACTTCATCATATTGTACGTAGTTCCAACATTTCATTATTCCTTCCCTGAAACCATTTATACATGAGTTAAACTTTGTGACCGCAACGTGGGGGATAGTTTTTTAATAACTTTTTCTTCTTTAGTCTTTCATTTAGAAGATCCATTCTAATTGTTTGCAGAAATTGTTTCAAAGTAGAAAAAATAACAAAATAGAAAAGTGATTTGTGATTGTAAGCAACTGACCACAAATCTTCATTAAGAATATAGCGATCTAATAAGTTACAGACATGTCTCGTTCTTAGGTTGTCTGTTCTTACAACCCGACATTTTTTTTCTCCTCTATAAATTCAAATCAGTGATTTATCTTTTCAGAGAGCATTTGCTCGGAGGAATCTGGTTCTATAAAGCTAGACAATACACAATTTCCTCATAAGTAAAAAGAGAAAGAAATATAATATATCAGTTTACGTGGGTCCGTTGTATTCTGCAAGATTTGATACAAATGAATGTCTTTAATCACAAAGATTATTGCGTTTAAACGCAAAGATTATTGCGTTTAAACGCCAAAATATTATTGCGTTTAAACACAAAGAGTATTGCGTTTAATCGCAATCTTTTGCGATTAAACGCAAAGTGTTTTGCGTTTAAATGCAATATACATTACGATTAAACGCAATCTTTTGCATTTAAACGCAATGATTATTGCGATTAAACACCCAATTTTGTTAACGCCCCCAAAATTTTCCTAATCAAGATCAATAGTATACAGCCTGTCAGTCATTAAAAAAACAATGGCTTCTGATTTGATTGACGGGCCAGCTACGTGGGCTACCTGATAATCTGAGTTTGTATGTTTTGAAAACAATTACCTTGTCACGCGTCAAACTCTTTCATGTACCGCGTGAAAGGTCGCTTTGTATACACTCTGGTTAAAAAATCATGTCACCTGTTATATTGGTTGATAATTTTATTTTTAAAAAATAATTAACAGTAGATAATTAAACAGTGACTTCGAGATTATTTTTTTTCAATCTCCACTGCTGTTTTGTACTAGTTAGCGATATGACGTCCAAGATAACTGTAGAACTTTTCAAAGAAAAATTTGCGGATATTCAAGCCCTCTCTTCCTTCAATAACTGAGATCCGGAGAGAGAAGGAGTTTCTGGTAGCAGCACAGACCAATAATTCCTCCGAGCCCCTCATTCAACCTGTATTTGTTATAAATCAGTCATAAATGAAAATGTAAGTAATAAGACATCATTTTTAAGTATACCGGTATGTCGGGATGTTTACGCTGGCTGGTACATGATCAAATCTACCATAAAGCCCTTCTGGATTTATAGGATTTGATCAAATGACTTACCTGAATTTATATCCTCATAATTGTTTAAAAACGATATGTTAGTTCTCAAATAAACTGAATCCAGCAACGACTGTGAAAACCCGTTTCATGCTAGAATATAAGACAAGCTCTTTCTAGAAAATATATCCTTTGTCGCATCATAAGTGTCCCTGGATCTCTAAAAGAAGACGTGACATATATTGGATCTAGAACAGATCAGAGGATGTAAAATTATTTTGAGGCGTTTGTTCTTCAAAGAAATATGACCCACAAAAAATTATTCTATAAAGTATTTATTATTTTTAAAAGTCAGAATAAAAGAAGGTTTGGTTTCTTTGCAGTGTTTTTGAATATAAGGATTTGATGAAATAACAGAAGCATTTAAGTTTTTTTTTTTTTTTTTTTTTTTTTTTTTTTTTTTTTTTTTTTTGGTTGTTGTTTACTTGTTTATAATTTTTTTTATATGTCACATTTAAAGAACAGTTTCATATTTTTTGAATAATTGTTTATGAGAAACAAAATATTTACACATAGAAAACCACATCTGTTACTTTTTTAACTTTTAATGGTAAAATAGTTACATTAATCACCTATCTTGGTAATTTTTGCAAGTTTTGATCAAACATATTATGTACGAATTATCTTTGTGTCATCTTATAAAATAAAATTTTGTAATATCATATATACTTCTATTATTTAAAAAAAATTTAAGTTTAATTTTGCAAAGTTTCTCTTATATTATGATTACCACCATGTTTATATTTCCAAGATTGTAAATTATTATTCTAGACAATTTTTTTACATTTTCATACTGCTACTCATGACTCATTGCCAATTTGACTATTGATGCTATTTTATTGTTTTATTCCAAGAAAAAAGTTTCTTGACATGTAAACTATGTAAACTGACATTATTATTATTATTATTATTATTATTATTATTATTTAGAGATGGAACAAGCTGACTACCTGGCAATTCATCTTATGCAAGGTATATGTTTCCTTGAAAATATTTTCCCTTTTGCGTTAAAAATTGTTTTGCATCTTCAATATCTTAAGCGTATGTCCTTTTCTAACCCATCAATGTGTTAAAAAAAATATTCCTCTTTACAGAGAAAGAGTTCTTGGATGATGAAGAATTAGCTGCCCCTGTCGATGGTTTAAAAAACAATCTCACTGTTCAGAAAACACTACCACTTTATATATTAGGAAGAAAATCAGTGTATATGAAAGACGAACATCCGCCGTTTTTCTTGGTTCGTGTGGCATTTTATGAATTCTATGCGCTGTTTTGTTTATAATTCTTATTGATATAATCAATATTACCAAGAAGTTGTGAAATTTAAAAAAAAAACAACTGTTTTATTCTATAAACACAAATTAACAATGGAAATGTATGGTATGTATCTTGTAATAATGAGTTGGGGTATTTAGCATTGAAAATATGTAACATATACATCCTATACGTCAATGGAATAATAATTCACAGGACATTGTCTTTGTACTTTTTCTTATTCTTTTATTGCTGAAGAAAAAAGCACAAAATATTAGTGGAAAATTAGTTGGATACTCATGAATAATGTTAAATGTACATAATCCTAAGAATTAGAAAGGGCCTTTCGTTGGATTTTACCCCTCATGACATCTTTATACTTCATTATGAACTTTTTATTCACTATGAAACATTGTTATCAATTTTTTTTTGAAATTTTCAAACATTTATATCCCCAAAATCCAGTTATTATTAAAATGCCAAATATATGCTGTATATAAATATTCGAACATAAAAGTAACATAATCATTTAATATCAAACATCGTGCATGAAACCTCGAAGAAATGAAATTTTTTGATAAATCTTTTTTTTTTTTCCTACTTCTTCTTCTTTTTTTTTTTTTTTTTTTTTTTTTTTTTTTTTTTTTTTTTTTTTTTTAGATACAAGTAACATTGCCTTTAAAAATATTTTAAAAAAACACACGAAACGTGAAGGAAATGAACCTTTGATGGTACAATGGTAAAAATTCCATAACTGTATTTATTATGCAAAAAAATCTTGAAATTTTGCGTAACTAAGGGAAAAGCTTTGAAACTGTCATTCATTATAGTCAATTATGTTTAATAATAAAATATGGTTTACTATCCCTTTTATGTAATTTTGTAATTAGCTATGCTTCGGTCAGGATGGCATAGATGAAGATAACGAACAGTGATCGATCTCAAAAGACATACAAACAATACAAATCTGTGAACAGGGCATAAAAGACGAACCCCTGAAAATTCCATAATTGGTATCAGGTGCCTGTGAAATTAAGCATTCCCTGTCGACCGGTCACTCCAATTTTGAGCCCTTTGTATTGATCAGGTAGAGGGATTAATCCGGACTTGACTTATTGACGTATTTTTAATATAAAAACAAAAGCCTTACAATTGTTACGAAATATGTAAGTCAAAATAAGACCCCATGAAAGGTTAACTTTGCTAATAAGTCATTGGAACGAACACAGAATTTACGAAATGCTGACTTTAAACGAGGTTCTTGAAATCCCTGTAACATCAACTTATAATTATCTGTCAGAAGCCTGCCTCTTTTCAAAAATTAATCCTTCTAAGAGCATGCTCTTGAGTATCGTATAAGTTAAGATACATAAACACCATATGCAGGTGATAGTGGAACATTGCTAAATAAATAAGGCAAGTAGACAATGGAAACTTGTCATAAAGTTTAGTCATTTGATAATGCCACGTGTCTATATTCCTTTGGACTGCGAGTACCAAAATATTGACAAACGTGCACTGAAAAAATCATGGAACTTCATTTTAAATAATAAAATGCTCCCTTTGTTAATGCTGGAATGAACGGTTGCAGACATTTAACTTTTTATATTTAAATCGTATAAAGTTTTTTAAGTACGAAAATTACTGAATTATTGATCTGTACATCATGGTATGTTTCGTTGATGAAAGAGCCCACTGCTTAAGAAATCACATTAAATGGCCTTGAATAGCCGGATCCGACTAGTTTATCCTGCATGAATTTATTAAGTGAAGTGATTTTCGTAAGGTATAGAGAAGAAAATATTTATGGTTGTGAAAAATTTCCTATTAAAGAATTCGAAATACATGTATTCACTTCATATTTACATTAGTGTGATTAGCTCCGCTGCTTTTTGAGTTGGTCCCCTTTCGATGGTGTTCGAGGATAGATATACAGATAGTTATACATACAGTATGAAAGGAAAACCATTAAACTGTAAATCATGTATTAGGTTTATTAACATTAATTTGTGCTTGAAAAAAATAAAACACCTAATGTTGATTACTGCCTGTTTACCGAAATTCGACGGGTTGTTTAAGTTCCTGAAAGGGGAAGCAATGCCGAACCATTCATAGATCTTACTGATCCAACAAATTCCGTGGTCAGTACTAACAATCAATATTGCTCGGTTCTCACACGGTAACTTGGCAGGTTTTGTATGGAGTTCATTGGATATCTTTCCTATTTTCCTTCTTACCAAAGAAACTAATTAAGTATAATTATCAGTCTTTTAAATAATGAGATAAGAAAAAATATTAATAACTGTTAGGAAGAAAATTCAAAAACCAAAAATGTTTTTAAAAAAAAATATTATCTTTGTTTCTTTATAACATGTACATGACAGTGAAAACCTGCAATAAAATACTGTTTCTTAATGTTGATTATCAAATATGTTCTGAAAGAAATATTGACATCTCAGTTAAATGTTAGTAAAGCAAATCATTTGACAAAAAATTGCTCATTTAAATCAAGAAAAAATACAATAACTTATTAAGACAGTGATGACGAACAGCTTAGTTCTGCACATGCGTGAACAATTTAAAGTCAATAAATCACATCCGACATACAAGCACCGGAACAGGTGAGTGGTGTATGACGTAATCACTAACGCTGCCAAGCACAGTCCGACGAATCTTTCCCAGTCCTCTCGTGCCTGTGATTATCATTGTAGCATTCTCCTCTTTTGCAATCTTTATAATAGCTTCGCCTGGTTTCCCTGCGCCAGTGCGGAACTTCCCATCAATCTTTTCAAGTAAAAATGTCAAATATAAATGCAAATGCTGTGTAGACACATCTTGTATCATGTGCAGTTTAATAAGACGAATTGTAAGAGGTACTGCTTTGCTATTTTATTGCCATTTAGTGATATCAACTATTCATATTAGCGATATCACTTATGAAAATTGAATATGTGATATCAACCATTTAAATAAAACAAAGTGATATCACTTATTCAAATTTGTGATATCACTTTTTCACTATTATATGATATATCTTTTATAAATTGGTGATAACACCAATTCAAATTGAAAAGAAAATATTATCAATTCACTTTTCCAATAGAGATACATGATCGGGAGGTCGTGAGTTCGAATCTCGGCCGCGACTGACCTAAGTCGATAAAAAATGGGTAGCAACTGTTCCTTCGCCATGCGCTCGGCACTTTGAAGTGAAGGTTGCGGGTCCTTCGGATGAGACCTTAAAAACCGAGGCCCCGTGTCACGGCAGGCGTTGGCACGATAAAGATCCCTCACTGCTCAATGGCCCTAAGTGCCGAGTAAAGCTCAAAATTTGAAGCCCTTCACCGGTATATGTCGACGTCTCTATATGAGTGAAAAATTCTCGAATGGGACGTAAAACAACATACAATCAATCAATCAATCAATCCAATAGAGATATCACTTAATTGCAGTTAATACCGAAACGCCCCCTCATAGAATTTGAATTTGCCAATATCAATTGGAAGGGAATTTTTACAGACATCGAATATAACAAAAAAAAATGTATAAAAATACGCAGAAAGAATGTTTGATTTACGCATCTTAGATTCAGTTCTTTTCTTCAAGATGGTGGATTCTTTAGTCCTTGAGGTCTATAGGTAATGTTGTCTACGTGAGCAAAGATATCTTCATTTTCTTGCTACTTAAATAAGTTTTTCTGATCAAAGAACACACTATTCCACTATGAAAGTGATGTATCATTTCATTTTGCAGAATAATCACTATCTGACAAGGAGGAAAATAAAAGGCCTTGGTTTTCTTCGTGAATGTTCGTGGCTAAATGTCAAATTTATTGTTGACATTGATCACAAGAGAATCCATTACCGATCAGTGATGTTGAAATCAACGAACGAACTAACCATGAAATGACTGACGACACCAATCCTGCCCTATCAATTCATTTCTTATTTGTGAAGCATTAAGTATGTTAAGAGAGGCTTGATATCTGGGCATTGAAGGCATTGTAAATAGCAATTAGCTGGCATTTGTCTGTTTTCGGTTGATATTTGACAAAGTATCAAATTGGAATGGTTTTATCAAGAATCAATGTTGCATGCAATAAGCTCTATTCAGAATTATCTGTTTTGCGAGAGAAATATGAAGTTTGTTAATTGAATAACTTTAAACAAGCTATATGTACACAGATAAACATGCATATCACTTCAGAGTATGTATTGGAGACCTCAACATACCCCAACGGCCTTAACTTTGTCAGCAAATTTATCCTCCAATGCTTTCACACTTTTCTCTAATTCATCTAAGAGCTGTCGCATAACACCAGGGCCTAAACGTAAAAAAGAAGAAAAAATGGTAAAATATGAATCGATAACTATATGTTAATATAATGAAACACAAAAGAAACGCAGCATCCTATTTTAAGGGGAAATATTATATATAGGATATAATTTTGTATCTAAAAAGTAAGGACATCTTCAACTTTGTAAATATCGGTAATTTAACGGTTGAATGATTTTCAAGTTAAGTTGAGTCCGCTTAATAGAAATCAAAAATTGACTGTTTAACAAAACATTTGGCAATAATACTGAGTTTTAAGGATTTGTATCTGTTTATTATAAGTATAATAAGTAATGAAGCAATGTTCCGAAAAATAGATTCTCCTTTCTTTTCTGTAAGCGATGCCAAGGCTTCCTAAAAATGACTAAAGTACGCATTTCCATTGCTCTTGCTGGAAAATCTCGAAGTAAAGGTGATGGAGAGTTGCAGATGCAAATATGCACCACATCACATCTCAACAGGCTCTTACGTATCATTAGCATGAATGACAGTCCTTGGACCGGAAGTCCAAGGGATACTACACTGCGCTTGGCTAGAGAAAATTCGACCTCATCATCTGAAAATCAGGCATTTAAAAATATTTCTTTCGCTCAGATCTCGAGATTGATGAACCTATTGCATCGTAGAATTCAAGCTGCAACTGTTGCACATGGCAGTCTCGCTGTAATTGAATGGGCGGGGTGGGGGTGTTTTAACATTCATGTGTTACTTTCTAAAGTTAAAAGATATTCATTTAACATTTTTATCAATTTAGCTGATGTTTTTAAATCGAGTTTTGTCTTACTGTATTCATTTTTGAAAATCATTAGATAAAAACTTCAAATATTTGTAGATTACTGCTTGTTGCGTTTTTTTTTTTTTTGTTTTTTTTTTTTGTTTTTTTTTGTTTTTTTGCGTTTCAGTATATTACATACATTATTCTTCAAAATATCAAAGGCATGCCACCGACGTTTAAATAAAAGCTGGAAATTAATGGAAAAAGAAGCTGATTTGCATTTCGTTAGTTTTCTGCAAGGGAATTGGCATTTTTACTTTGTTATCAATTAGAAATATGTTATATTTCTGCAAGATCTTTGTTAAATAAAAGGAACAAATTTTCATCTAAAAATGAAGCATTTTTATATCTAATTCAACATTTTCAATGAAATTCTAAAACTAACACCGACCGGCAGCAGCTTTAAATTGGATTCAATAATCTTTTCAGTCTAAAATAAACTTGTGACAAGTTTCATTTATTAAAGCAATACAGTCAAGTGCGATATCATTTTAACATAATAATCTAGCATGTCAGTGATATTCCGGGAGGCATGCCGAGGTGCTTATGCATACTGCAGCTGGCTTTACGTTTAAACTAGTTGAAACAAACCCGCATTTCATCTTAGTTATCAGACACGTTAATGCATCATAATGTGGGTTTATTTAGGATTACAACAGAGAATCTTTGTCTAGCTTGTTTATGAGAGGCCAAATATTAACAGATTATACAATTTAATCGGATCCCTAATTTTTTTTTTTTTTTTTTTTTTTTTTTTTTTTTTGTCCTTGATTGTTATTGTAAAATGATAAACACGATATATTAATGATGTGTTGCAATGTTTAATAAACGATCTACCAAACAGAAATAATGAAATATAACACTCTTGGTTGAACACTACAGTGTATATGACAAAACAAGCAGTTCTAAACGCACACATAATATTAAGGATATTGTAGTTATTCATTAATTATAACCTTTTTTCTGTTGCCATGGAAACAAGAAGGGTTTACTTATTATTTTATTTCATTTTTTCTCTTTAAGTATTTCAAATTGCATAATATTAATGTGAAAAAAATCTCCTCAAATTTCTTTGGGTTCGAAATTTTCAAAATAGCTGCCATGGAAACAAAAATAGATCTAGATATTTAGGAAAATTTAAGCAATAATATCGATATCTTTTAACATATTTTTGTACAGTTGCTACTTACACTACACTTCACTCCAATATCGAACGGGACAAGTCCGTAATAACGTATGCTACTGCATGCTATACTATAGTTTCAAGTTAATTGTTCTTTTTCTTAGAAAATGAATAGAAAAATACTATTGTACAAAAACAGTTGTATTTAAAATAGTCTTATAATGTTAAAAGTCTTGTAAGTTTAAAAATTCTTGCATGTTTTATTTCTCAATGTTCCAACAAGGTTGCTAGGTTGTATTCTCTAAGATTGATATATTACTGCGACCAATCTGTAACTAAAATTGCTCTACAGAAATTGGGACAATCCTATAGCTCTCAAGAGAGACGACAAATCATATGATCTCGCAAAAACAGGACTCCCAGTTCGGTATAATGTGTGTTGGGTAATTGAATTCAGGAGAGATTACAGCATGCGTGTGCTCAACAACAGTTTAATTTTTGACGGGTTTAAGATTGACTTTATTGATCATTCAATTTTCCATGACACATGTCAGTAAATTTTTTTTTAGAAGAAAACGAATTTTGACAAATTCTTTTTCATAAATTTTATCCTGGCGACGAAAAAGAAAACTACAGATGTAACTGTAGCTATTGAATTTTGTTGATCATAATGCATTCTGAGTAACATGTAAACCTTTTGATATGTGGAACATAAATACCTCATTGATCACCCTTAATTACGGTACTATGATTTAAAACATTTTTAAACCCTAGTAAACAGAAATATACAGCTCATAAACTCTTGTGTAAAAATGCACAAGAGTATTTCGTATATTTCATCTCATTTCTTATCAAATTTCTTAGTATCATGCTCATATACGATATATATATATATATATATATATATATATATATATATATATATACATATATATATATATATATATATATATATATATATATATATATATATATATATATATATATATATATATATATATATATATATATATATATATATATATATAAGGTTATTAATAGTTCAACTGTGTCAAAATGCAGATACATACTTGGTATTGTGAAATCGAACGCTTCCTTCTGAAGAGCCACGGGCGACCACTCTCCTACCATGCAAATACTTTGATTCAGATATTTTATTATGAATCTTTAAAATTGCTTTTTCTTTCAAATGTTGTCGATATAAGATTGACCTCAATTTTTGCTACTAAATTATTCAATATACTGTCAATGATTTATATTTTAATTTACTTTCTTATGATTTATTCTATAATTAACAGCCTAGATTTCAAGAAATTTATCATAACTTTCATAACTTTATATAATATAGTGCATTAATGCTTGAGAAAAATAATTTTTAAAACTTTCGTTCTTAATTCATCTTCATTTTGATATTTCTTGTGACTTGAAAAAAATGTTATTTTCAATGTGAATTACAGTGTTGTTATGAATGTATATAAGTATTGAATTTGAATTGTACATACATTTAAGAGTAGGTACATATTGTATGACAATTGATCCTCGAATACGAACAAGAAGAAAAATATTTGTGTTGTAGTGCAAAGGTGTTGGAGATCAAAATTACCGCCATTGCTTCTGTTTTGTTTTGTTCGATTTGACAATTACCTTCAATTGTAACGTAAAGTTAAGACATTGCATTCATTGCTTTATATCTGTGTATATACATTAAGGACAGATGATACCAACAAAAAAAAAATGGATACCTGGATTGGTATATATTTTTGGTCCTATTTTGGTTGTAAATGATACGAATAATAAATTACTAAATTATTAAGACATTGTAAACTTTCTATGGTGTTTAAAATTCTACCTATCTGCAACCATCCTTATTATTCTAGACAAGTTTTTATCACTTCAAATCCCATTATTGTTAAGATTTGAATGAAAAATTAAAATCTATTCGGTTAAACTTATTCATTTTACTTATATAAACATGACTCAAGTTGTTATTTTCAAAATGTTTGATAAAAATGTGTTTGTATCATCTGTCCTTAACCTTCAATTCCTTCGCAAAATTACTTGCATTTCTCCAGAAGTTTCTGAATATCGCATTTAGAAGTGACAGAAATGTCTGAGATATAAATCTTACACTTATGATACAATATTATCTGGAGACAGTTAAAGCACTCGACATTTGAACATAATTCTCAATGGGATTGAAATAATGGATATATACATTTCAACAGAAGCAAAAGAAATGGAAAATACTTTCGATCCATATAAAACTTGCAATTTAAAAGAACTTTGCATTAGAAAACATGTAACTGATGCAAGAATACCTACCTTCACAATTTATTTAGCGGTCAAATTTAATTAAAAAATGTTTTGGATTTATTGAAATCGAAGTGTAATGACTAAAATGCAGATTTTCTTTTGCTCCTAGGATAAAAAGTGAAATTCAAATAGATGTAATGGAGTGTGGTTTTAAAATTATTTCTACAAAAATGAATTTAATTGTATCTTTCAGTCTAAGCAAACATATGCATATTCAGTAGCAAATGTAATCTTGTTATATAAAAAATATATATAAAACACATAATGTCTTTATTTTCCCGATGTATAAATGTATCTTTGTTTTCTGATCAAGTAGTCATGACGTATTTTTATTTCGGTTTTGTTTTATTGGCAAATTTGTTTTGTGTCGCCATGGCCTGTAATTCCTCTTCTCTACGAGTCACATCTAAACATAAATATTGAAGGAGAAACAAACCTACATTTACAACAATAGGGATTACACACAAAATGGAAAGTGCAGTGACATATATGTACATACAGCTATATGAATGTTAAAACTGGACTGAAGAAGAATGACAGAGAAAAAGTAAGCATTTCTTATGAAGGAAAATTATAAAGGCATAAATACTTACTTGCCAAGGAAAAGTCGTAAGATTCCGGAATGTGAATAAGAACAATAACGTCATCATCACGTCTAATTTTTTCCAAATACCCTTTTAAAGAATATTCATATAAATTTTAAAGAATCATCAATATTTAAACAATATAGCATTTCAAACAACCATATTATGTTCCTTTAACGTTCATACTCAACTATGCAACACATTGATACAATGAATATTAAATCCTTAAATGCAAGATTTTTGAAATTACATCTGCATATAGATTGAAAAAAAAATGTTCAAATAATTCGTCGGAGGCCCATCGGCCACACTGATTCCTCAACTGGATAAAACCATTTTCAACAGGTATTCTCAACGTCAGAAATAATAAAAATGATTTAAATATAATGAGCCTTTAATAGCCAATTCTAAACAAAATATCTCGAAGCCTCAAATCAAGTCAAAATAAAAGTCACAATAAAGGGAACTTAGTTTTAAAACTGGTGATTTAACTTTAAGTTGTTTTGGCAAATGGTATTGTTTCAAGACATATGAATTTTAGTTAGCCATGGTGAGCATTCCAAGCTTTTTGAACAAGGCTTATCAATAAGGACTCTTACAGAAGCTTTTTAGCCTAGCTATGGCAATTGGTACGTTAGTGGTTCTGCACTGTGCAAAGAGTTTGAACAAAGATTTGACCTCAGCCCAAGGTTTTGATTTTTTAACAAAAAGTCATACATTTATACATTATCTTGAAGATTTCCATTTTGTTGTTTTTGCTAAAAACATAGAGAGCATTTAGATATATCGACGACGTTTTACCAGTTAACAATATCCATTTTCATTCCTACATTGATTCGATATATCATTTTGAACTCGAACTAAAAGATACTTAGAAGTCTGACATCTGTTTCATGTTTGGATATTTTACTAGAAAAGACGTTCTGTGTAACCTAACAACAAAATTTAATGATAAATGTGATGACTTCAACTTTTCTATCGTCAACTTCCCTTATTTATATATTATCAACTATATATGGAGCTTACATCTCCAGTTAATTCGATGCGCAAGCGCATGCTCTACGTACGAACATTTTTTTAAACGAGGCAAGCTATTGAAAAATAAGTTGATGAAACAAGAATATCATCAGATTCGTTTAAGATCATCATTTCACAATCTCTATGGTCGATACAATGACCTCCTCAGCAAATAAAATCTATCATTAAGTCAAATATTGACTGAGGATTTTCAAAAATATTGTACATGTTTGCCCATTATTTTCACACTGAATTGTCTAAGGATTTTTCCGTTTACCCCATCATGACAAAGAGCACAAGGCGGGTGTGACCGGTCGACAGGGGATGTTTTCTCCTCCATGGCACCTGATCCCACCTCTGATATTTAAGAGATCTGTGTATGCTCTGCTTCAAATTTGTATTGTTTCAATAGACTTTTGAGCTTGATTACTGTTTGTTATCTTCATATTTCACTTCATATTTCTATGAAAACTCATTTCACTTTTCTTCTGTCTAAATTCCAAATATTTTACGTAAAGACAAGGATGATAACAGTCATATATTACAAAGTACAGCATTGTCTTTTATGGAGGAATTACCAACATTTGATTAAACAATGTATTCTGTGTAGCTGAAAAATCTTATATCAAGTAATTTTGCAGAGATACGGTATAATAAAAAATGTGAAATGTTTATAGACAGACTGACGAATGTGAGACGTACAGGCTTCAACCAAAATAGCTCATTTATCTCTTTGGTTCACGTGAATTTTAGGAAGATCTGTTATAAATTCTTTTTGAATATCCATTTATTTCAACCCAAGATGAGTAATTTTCAAATGATATGGAGAGAAGTCTTAATAACAATAAAACTTCCAATAAAACGCTGAATTGGAAAGTCTCGGCGCATCGTAAAAGCAGCTATTGAAGGAACCGAAGATCCCAATGCGATGTCAGACATTGGATTTTACTGCCACCGGAGATTACGGTTCGAAAAAATCCACAAAACTGCTATCTGATTATCGTTAACTTCGTAATCTCTTGGTACATGGTTCAATGTTCAAGGAATTTTTTACATCCTCAATTTTGCGTGCCTAATTAAAAGAAATATATGGTGGGGATTTTATCGAGAACATAACGCCATGCTTCTTTTGCTTTACTTATTGATTTATGTATATTTTCCGCACAGAGAAAAATGTAACGTTTTATGGACCCTTGTTTTTAAACAAATCAGTAAAGTATGATATAGAGATATCTATGGAATGAAACAAATTGATAAATATATCTTAATTTATTCAAATTGCTTATTACGATCAATCAATATTTGTTCAAAATTTATTAATCTCGCTGTTTTTAAAGTACGATGGAGAGCTCTGAGTGAGTTTCTAAGTGCGATATGTATATCTTGTGTGCGTTATCTTAATAAAATTCCGGATGTAACTACATAAAACAGCACGCACTTAGTGTCAAGGTTAAAAGAAACTTCAAATTATCTAAGAAAGTTTTTCTCTAGCTTGCTGTCTTGGAAGATTCCATCGATAAAATGTATCTTCAAACTGAGAATGGAAACAAAGCGATTAATTATGAAAACACATAATTCAATAAAAAAGAAGATAATACTCACAATCAAAAGCTTTTTCTGCATATTCACTATTATCTATAGCAATAGCAACGACCCGAGGCTGTCTAACTTCTTTCTCCTCAGTTGCCATTGTCAATATTCCGTACTTGCCCACAGAAAGACTTCCCTGTCAAGAAGGAAAGACACCCTTCAAATGAAGTTAATCAGAGAACGGGGGCTATTTGTTTGCTGATGGTTCCTGAAAAAACTGTAATCTTATATGTCCGTTACCGCCAATTCTTGAAGCGAAAGTGAAAACCTTCACACATTGATTTTTTTTCTCACAAACATTTAAAGACGCAGAATTAATGCAAAGAGAAACGCCAAAAGTCAATTAATAGTTGACTGTCCTATCTTCATTACCATCTTTTGCAATTAGGAGTAATTCTTCAGCAAAGCTAGATGGAAAGTTAGATGACTTTACAGTCTTCCTCTAAAAATCATTGCGACCATTTGATGCATTTTTCCTTAACAACATGTGCATCGACTACAAAAACCTACCTATAAAAGCAGATATGCGTTGTTACATATCCTCACGTAAAACTGTAACTGACAGCAAGAAAGTCATACGTTTTAAAGCATCAAAACACTGAAGTATGATGTATTATTAATAAAGTGCTACGATACGCTTCGTGTTCTTTAGTATCATCAGCTACGAAGTTATTGATGATTTTTTATCATCGGGATACAAGCATGGTATAGGCCCTGTCATAAATTGACTGCATAATCAATTGGTCTTATAATCCATCTGACCTGTTCTGGTGAACAATTGATTCTGTAAGGCTGTTTGGTAAGTGGATTATTGTTAATTACTCATCTTCAATAGCGTGCTTCCTGCAAAAAATAAGCTGATCAAAGTGGTACATTGTTAGAGCTACCCGAATTAGAACAGTCTATAATTTCTGTTTGTCTAGTGTAATAATTTCCGAAATGTAGACAGAAAATAGATGATTTAATTTGGAAAATGCAACTATAAGTGTATTTTCTTTTTCTTATCAATCTATTTATTTCATATTGGTAAAAAATACTAACATATTCATGAGGAATGATCCTACAATGATACCCCTACAGTCAGCAAAAAGATGAACTTTCTTATTCATAAAAACAAGTAAATTTTGAAAATTATATATTGATGTACATCTTATTTATTCCTTTCTCAATGGCATGATTCATCTTCTTTTATATATATTATATACTAAAAATAAGTACAAAGGAGTAAAACAAAAAACGTTCAGTTAATTTCACAAAGTTGTAAATCTGGAAACTTGAATAATATCAATATAATAAATAAAAAATATCTTTGTAAGTAAAATATATTTTCCCAAGCTTAATTCATCTTAAAACGTAATAAGAACATACGTGATCATATTTTCCTTTTCTAAAAAAGAATAAAGAGGTCATAGGAGATTACAGCAGGCAAAGGAAATTGATTGAAAAATACCTTCCTTTTTTCTACAGAAAACATATAAGCAAAGTAAAAGTGCTCAAAAATTGAGCCTAAAATATTTGTATTATCCTGATAGACTTGGAATAGTTTTTCTTTCAAAATGATAGCATCATCAAAAGCATATTATCTACAATGTATCGTCAAAATAACTCGATTTTAGATTTACATTAGATACAGAGAACAAAAACTCTTCAAGAAAAGACAATGTTTCTCATTATAGAATATGACTTTCTTATCAGAGATTGATTTTGAGAGCTAAAACAATTCATAAAAGCTGTGAACATTGCTTTACAAAAAACATGCATTGTATTTTTCCATTTTTAATGCCTTTGTTTTACTTTTGAAGTGGTGTAGAAATAAACATCATATAATGCATAGATGTTGCCGTAACATGAAAATTTAGACAAAGAGATATTGGATCATTGTTGTTTCAAAAGACTGCTATATGCACTCAAGAATACGTGAGATACAAATGCTTTTCTGAAAAACATTTATTGTGCATTTGCATTTCAAGATAAAGATGTTTTATGGTCCAATATTCAGAAGGAACAATTTATCCAGCACCATCAATCATCATCGCTGGAGAGTTTGCAGCTATCATTATCCAATTCGTATAGCTGTAAACGTCTAGGTTCATAAATAAATTATTTCATAGTATTATTTAAAAACACTAAAGTTTCATGCGGAACAGAAATTTGCAAATAGTCTAATAGTGCATGCAATGTCTGCAAAAATTATCAACTTTAATGAAACTCTTATTTGCAAGAGTGTTCGGAAATAATGGCATTGCTGTGAAAGTGTAAATAGCGCAGTCTTTTGTCTCTTTGTTAGCTTCTAATAATTGGTTTATTATACTACGTGCTATTCGAAAATATGGAGAAAAAAAATTTATGCGTTTACAAATATAATATTTTCTAATTTATTGATCATTTTTATGAACAATGCATGTGTCAAGTTTAATCTTATAAATCTATTTATATCCAGTAGTCATGTAATGTATATTTGGAAGCCATTCAAATTTTTCAACATATAACTGATAATTCAGCAAATTATCCAATTGAAGCCACATTGTAAAAAATATCAATTTATAAAATATTTACTGCACATATTCAGATGACAGAAAGTGGAATTCATGCTATCAATACAGAAATATGATTAAAGAGACAATTTCTCGATTTCATAACTATTACGCAAAAGTCACCATTTTTAAATGTATCTAATAAATATTAAACAAATTACATATATTGTCAACACGTCTTCCGAAACGTTGATAATTCGTAGCAATTACAATCATTGAATTTTCTTTACGGAAGAGAAAAATCCCTGATAGTAACCTTTACAATGAATAATTTTCAAATCTGGAAGTCGACGAACCCTGTAGAACATGTTACTATATAAAGCAACCAATGATTTTTCTTTTTCTCACATATGTGTTTGCTCTCTTTTACACTTTAAAGATAACATGAACTATGTCTGAAATATCATAAACTTGGTGTCCAATCATTTTAATTTATTAGTTTAATCTGACCTTGATGGGACATACCATACAGAATGCTGTGGTGTTTATAATTAATTTCAAATGCTTCTATGTACAATGTGCATGTACCTCTGTGGTGACAGATATGTGCATCTTATAAAAATATCAGACGAAATCCGACGTTTTCAGGGGAAAATGTTTTTTTTTTTTTCAATTTTTCTGAAAGATTTTTTTTTTCATTTTAGTTCAAGAAAATTGAATCCTTCCACTCACCTTAATATCTATGTCGTGTATGTTAGATATCCAATTTTGTTAACCGGTAGGAATCCAATCTTCTTGCTTGCATGAAAAACTTCCAGTCTTTCTCCACTGAAGATTTATTTTCTTTTCACTGTTTATGAGTGTTCGTTTAGCAATACAACGTTCATCGTGTATTGATCATGAAGAACTCAATTAACGAAGAAAAGGAGAATGATTTCTTCGCAATTAACTTCGCAATTAACTTACATAACAGCCTTAGATGATTATATAAAATTAATCAACAAATGCATATATCATGGTAACAATCAATTGCAGTGCTATGAAAATTTATATTCACTGCCAAGTCATCCTATGAGTCTTTATTGAATTAACAACCTGTGGCGTTTTTTTTCTTGCGGTAATAAATGAAACATTTCCATAAGAATACACCTTTTTCTCAAAAATACACCTATTCAAAACTGTGGATTTTCGTGGCCGTGGTTTGCATATAAAATGGTCTTACACAATTAATGATAATCATTGTTCATTCTCTGAGCGTCAGATTACTGTAAGGCGATTATGATAGGTCATCTGAATGAGAAATAAACATTGAAACAGCAGCTCGTGGAATGTATAAATAATTTTGTCATTTCACCCGAAGGAAATATCTAAAAATTACGTTATTACAAGAAAACAATAAGGAAAAAACCTTGCAGAACTGGGTATTCAATAAGTTGTTTCTGCTAGAGACTGGATTTGCTTAGAATTTGCATCATTTTCCATAATAATGAAATAAATGTCATGTATTACATGTCTTATTATTGAAAGTCACGAGATCCTCAGATTTAGAATAACATCTCTGTAATGTTTGAGTACATTTGTACTTGATAAATCACTCGTTTTGCACTTTTATCATCGCGCAGAACAAAATGCAGCATTGTCGTATTTCCAGCTGATTAAATTTGTTATTTTAAATATTTCTGCTAAAGTCTATTTCAGAGGGCAAAAACTTTTTTTTGAACAGAGCATATACGTGTTTCCTGGATACATAACCTGATTTACACACATAACTTTTTAAAACTATAGCTAAGTCATGCATTCAACATTTAATGCTGATCTTTTTTTTTTCAACCGAAAGGAATGCTAGAAGGTTAACATAAAGGTTGGATTTAATGGTACTTTTCTCCGTCTTAACTAATCTTTGCATCAAAAATTCTATTCAGTAGTTGTTCATGACTATTTCGTGTACATTGCATTGTCAAAAATGTACATGTACATCTAATTCTTTGTCTCGATTTGAGTAAAAGCGTATTAGCAGAAGTTTTAGCGCGGGTTCAATCTTGGCATCTTTAGCGAGGGTGTTGAGATCGCTAAATTTTAATATCGCTAAAATATTATTCCGTAATATAAGAGGTTATCGTTATTTTTCTTTGCACCATGAAGTCGCTTAAATTACTTCTAGCGAAAATTAAATGTTGATTTTTGAGGACAAATCGCTAAATTTGCGTCTCGCTAAGAGTTTCACTTATACGGTACTCAAAATCTGAGAATTTAATGATTTTTTTAAAATAATTTCTTCTTGTTCAATTTACTATAAGGCAATACATCAAGTGCTTTGTTAAATTTTAATGCAATTTGTTGACTTTAATGGTAGTATGAGAACAAACACATAGTGATAAAATTCATAACTTATTCATTTAACATGAGGTTAAGGGAAATCGGAATCTTTCCGATGTGTGAATGCATTCGATAAAAACAAAAGCTTTGGGAGTTCCCATCTGTCTGCTAACATAATTAAAAAGAATCAATAGAGGAAGGATAGCAGAGTGATAACTGATGTAATTTGACCACATCTCCTTACTGTGAATTCATTTCTTTCAAATCATCACTTCAAGAGAGAGTTTTAAATGAAATATTTTGCGAGAAAATAGCATTTTGAAGACCTATAAAGAGTAAAAAATTCTGCGTCCTTGCAGATGGATTGTTATGGGATATTAGTATGGTATAAAGGATGCAGGGACAAGAATGCAGATAGCGTTTAGGATCACCTAAAATCGCAATTTTACAAAATTCCTTTCTTCACAGTTGGCAAGAAAAATTAGAATTTCGATAAAACAGTTAGAATTTCGTATTTTTGTGATACTACACAAGGGGATCGACGATCATTTGCAGAAAAGTAACAGAGTTGACAGTATGGAAAGATCTTTGGCGTATGACCCTGACATAATTATCGATTGTTCCCTACCTATAAAACTAGACTATATGTTTCTTATCTGCCTATCTGTCTGACTGTCTGTCTGTCCAGCTATCTATCAGTTGCTCAGTCTGTCTGTCTGTCTGTCTGTCTGTCCCTCTGTCCCTCTGTATGTTAGTCAGTCATAAGGATTTTTCTATCTCGAAGCTTGCATAAATTGAGCTGATATTTATTTAAATGAGTCTATTGTGATGAGTGAGTGATAAAATACACATTTTGATCTGCTAAGATGATTTT